GCCTCCCAAGTAGCTGGGACCACAGGCGCCCGCCACAACGCCCGGCCATTTTTTGGTTGCAGCCGTCATTGTTGTTTGGTGGGCCTGGGCTGGGGATTCAAACCTACCACCTTTGGTGTATGTGGCTGGCGCCTTAGCCGCTTGAGCCACAGGCACCGAGCCTTGTTTCTTGAGGCAGAGTTTCACTTTGTTGCCCCTTGGTAGAGTGCCAGTGGGTCATAGCTCTCAGCAACCTCAAACTCTTGCACTCAAGTGATCCTCTTGCCTCAGCCTCTCAATTACTTGGGACTACAGGTGCCCACCACAATGCCCGGCTAGTTTTAGAGATGGGGGTGTGTGTGTGTGTGTTGCTCTTGTTCAGGCTGGTCTTGAACTCCTGAGCTCAAAGAATTCACTTGTTTTGGCCTCTCAAAAGTGCTAGGATTATAGGTATGAACCACAGTGCCTGGCCAATTTTGTCAACTTTTTGAAAAAAATGTTGTGTATTTTGTTAAGTAGCTATCTGGAAGAAATATCCCAAGAAACATGCAACTCTAAACTACTTAATATCACTCAGTTCTTTTTATCTTCTCATCAGAATATTTATATGCATTTTTACATTCTTAGTGTTAGTCCTTTATTTTCTGTCTTTTTTCTTTTGCCTGTCATATAGAAAATTTCTCATATATTGATAAAGTCATTGTATTTGTTATTTTTAATACCTATATACTCTTTTAGCCTGTTGATATGTCATACTTAGACATTTTGTTTGGGCCTTCTTTGTGTATCTATAAATTAGATATACAGTAGGACCTGTATAGTTGACTACTTACCTACATTGACCACCTCCTTGAGTTGACCTCATTTTCATAGACTGGATATGCACCACATATACATATCAATACAATAGACTTAGTTCCTTATGTTGACTGGTTTGTTACACTCCCTTGTGTGGTAAACTTACAGAGGTTCTACTGTATTTAAAATGGAATTTAGTACTGTTATACTGGCCTGCCACCACTTAAATGTTTCTTCAGTTGCCACTCACTCTTTATATTATCCCATTTTCTAAGGGAGGGGGAATTGACACTGGGGATTTACTTGTGTGGCTTTACTGCATAGAAAGATAAAGTGACTAAAGTGAAATTAAGAATTACTTTAGAAACAAGTTAATCATAGAGGACATGGCAGAATCCTCGCTCTTAGTTTTATTTATATAATTTCTCCAGTGAAATCTGGTGGTTTGTTTTTTCTCGCATGTGGATATGTATAGGAGGGTTTATATTTATGATCACTTAACACTTCTTTTATTTACTCTTAATTTTTTCATGGTAGTGTAGCTGTGAATATCATTTTCTTTCCAGATTGGGAGTAGTGTATGAAAATGGTATTCCTGAATTCCTTTGATTGGTTTTTATTCAAATTCTGTATATCCTTTGTCCCTACAGAGATTGATTGGCAAAATGCTGTGTTCAGATCATAATATAATACTTTAATATATATCTATAGAGATATAGATATTATATATAGATATATATGCTTCTGTGTTGATATTTACCTTGCAAGTTACTTTTTCTTTATTCTAACACATGGCTTTATAGAGTTACAGGCATGATTCCTGCCCATATTTCCATTCCTTTACCTTTTTCTCTGCATCTGTTTTGCTCTATTTTCTTTTTTCTCTTCCTTTCTCCTTTCCTTTTCTTATTCCCTTCCCTCCCTTTATTTCTTCTTCCTTCCTTTTTTCCTTTCCTACCTTCCTTACTTCCTTTTTATTTTAATTTTAGCTTAGTTCATTAATTCTATTTTTAGGTCGGATGATGAGCAGAGCTCTGCGGATAAAGAGAGACTTGCCAGGTAGGAGAACAGTGTCTTTTAGCATGATGAAACAGATTATGCTGCTTTTTCTGTCCTTTTTCTTAGTCTTTCTTTTTGTATTTTTCCTTATCTATGGCAAGAGATGATAAGAATTTTTAGAAGTTTGGGTGTAACAGGAACTTTGGCTTATCCCATCAGAAAGTGGGTAGGTTGAGGGAACTTTACTTAGGAATTTTAAAAATTGGTATTAGTTTTAAATTTTTTCTTCTCGTTAGCACTAAGTTTCACAGAACAGAAAGCTTTTAGAAATAATTTAGCTGTGCTGGCTGGTTCTTTAGCAGGGAAATACCACTTTTATTAGAAAACCAATAAATCTGTATGTACAGTTAGTTCACAGTATTTAGGCCTCAGTATTTACTCTTCACCTCTGTAGAATACTCACTTTATTTTCCTATGTTGACTCAACGGCCTAGATTGCCATCACAAAGAACTAGTGTTGCTTTGGTGACTGAATTCTTTATTATGGTGGTTCCCCAGAAAAAATTTGGCTGCCTTGATGTGGCCAGATCAGGTTTTTGTACTTTAGTGTCAGAAACCTGTCCTATACTAGGAAGATGGGTGCTTTAAGATTGAAAGTAGAATTTTACGTGTCTCTGGCAAAATAACTAAACATGGACCTATGCAGTGAGTCCTTTTGCCATTTGGAAACATAACTCACCAGTTCTTTTTGGAGATTATTGTTCATAAAATAAAAATATTGCAGAATTGTGGTGAAACGTTTTTGTTTTCTGGTCTCTGTGATTTGTGATTAACTTCTGAGACTTAGGAAATAGATCGTTAATTTGATACCAGCACCTTTTTTACTCTTTCCCCCCTTTTATCTGTCATTTACTTCTTTAACTTGGGCCACACATTCATTGTGCTGCCATTTCAGCCTATCACTCCTACTAACTATTTCACTCTTCAGAAAACTGACTTGGAATGACGTGGTAGAGAAAGCCCTACACTGGGAATGAGGCAGCCCAAGGAAGAGTCACTTTACCACTGAACCTCAGTTTGTTCTTCACTTGAAAAAGAGATTTATGTTAGATTATTACTTTCATTTTTTCCCCTTCTTTTTCACAAAGAACTTTTGTTCAAATGAAATTTTTAAATGGTGATAGAAATAAATATAAGCGATAAACCCAAGCTGTTCAAGTAGAAGTAGAAATATAGTATGTTATTTGGTATCTTCCTTGAGGCATCCCCATGATTCCACTGAGGAACTTCCTGGGCTTTCTGAAATTCCTGTTGGAAAACTACTGGATTTTTCCTCTGAACAATGATGTCCTTCTCTCCAGATTGTGAGGTCCTTGTTGGAGATGTGGCCTGTTTATCCTGGTGAGATCCAAACGATCTCTTTTCAGACATTTAAGCATCCTCCACTCTACTTCACTCCAGCTCCAATTCACTTTTTCCCAGAGTGGAGATCCCTTTGAGACCTTGAGTAGATGCTATTTTAAGTCTCTTAAGTTTATTGTACTGGTACCACACCCCCAAAAAGAAGGTAGGACTTTAAAGTGACAAATAAAACTTCAAAATCTTGAAATTCTGCCTTCTAATGTTGTGAACAACGGAGAAGCTTACAACAAAGTAACATTTTGCAGGCCAAGGGAATCTCTACTATCAATTTTTTATTTTTTATTTTTTATTTTTTTTTGAGACAGAGCCTCAAGCTATCCCCCTGGGTAGAGTGCCATGGCATCACGCTCACAGCAACCTCCAACTCCTGGGCTCAAGCGAGTCTCTTGCCTCAGCCTCCCAAGTAGCTGGGACCACAGGCGCCCGCCACAACGCCTGGCCATTTTTTGGTTGCAGCCATCATTGTTGTTTGGCAGGCTGGGGATTTGAACCCGCTGCCTTAGGTGTATGTGGCTGGCGCCTTAGCCGTTTGAGCCGCAGGCGCTGAGCCTATCAATTGTTATATCAACTACTGAGCAACATACTTGATTTGGCAGAAATTGGTCATTTTCTAGCCTTTAAATAGTTGAATTAGTAAATATGGAGATTATTTGTCTCTTAGGAACGTGAGTGAAATCAACATTTTAATTTATTATTATTTATTATTATTTATTTATTTATGGGCTGGGTTTAAACCCACTGCCTTCGGCATATGGGGCTGGTGCCTTACCCCTTTGAGCCACAGGCGCCGCCCTATTGTTATTTTTTAAAGACAAAGTCTCACTCTCTTGCCCAGGCTAGAGCACCAGGCTTCAGCCTATCTCACAGCAACCTCAGATTCCTAGGTGTGAGTGATCCTTCTGCTTCAGCCTCCTGAGTATCTGAGACTACAGGTGCCTGCCATAATGCCCAACTGATTTTTCTATTTTTGGTAGAGACAGGTCTCACTCTTCCTGAGACAGGTTCGAACTCCCGCACTCAAGTGATCCTCCTTGCCTTGGCCTCTCTGAGTGCTAGGATTATAGGTGTGAATCTTGGTGGCTGGCCAACATACTTTTTTTTTTTTTTTAATGAGACAGTGTTGTCACTTTGTCCTTGGTAGAATGTCATGGCATCATGGCTCATAGGAACCTCAAACTCTTGGGCTCAAGCAATTCTCTTGTCCCAGCCTCCTAAGTAGCTGGGACTATCAGTACCCACCACAATGCCTGGCTATTTTTTTTGTTTGTTTTATTTGTTTAGCAGGCCCAGGCTGGGTTTAAACCCACCAGTCCCGGTGCATGTGGCCAGCACCCTAACCACTGGGCTACAGGCACTGAGCCAGCATTTTTAAATACTGTCATTCCTTAAAACATTTTTTGTTTTGCTAAGATTGGTAATTTACATAGAAAGGGATGTTTTCGGGCAATAGAATTGCAGAATCTATTTATTGTCTGTCTACCTTGTTCTATCTCAGGCTTGCTTTGCATGAGAAGGTTGGCAAACCTTTAACTTGTGAGACTAAGCATCACTAAATGTAAATACCACATTCTTCAGCAGCTACTTGGTATCCATATCACTCTCCCTGCTGCCAAATGACCAGATGTGACCACCTAGATGGGGCTTCTTTCTCTCCATGCAGGGAAAATCATAGTGAAATTGAACGGCGGCGACGGAACAAGATGACAGCGTACATCACAGAACTGTCAGATATGGTACCCACCTGTAGTGCCCTGGCTCGAAAACCAGACAAGCTAACCATCTTACGCATGGCAGTTTCTCACATGAAGTCCTTGCGGGGAACTGGCAACACATCCACTGATGGCTCCTATAAGCCATCTTTCCTCACTGATCAGGTCTGTGGGACTCACAACTCTGGGAGGGTCTAGAATCTGGGTGAATCTGTTGAAAATTTTGGTTTTTTTTTTTTCTTTTTTCAGCTTTTCAGGAAAAATTCAGATCATGGGAAAATTAATTCAGTTGTTGGCTATAGCATTAATTAGCACTGGGACAGTGAGAAGTAGAGAAAAGTTGTGAAAAGTATTTAGGAAGTTTATAGATATTTTAGAACTCATAACGCGGCATGCGAAGTGGAAGAATAGTGGAATCACAGAGAGAGGAAATGGCAATGTCCTTGAAACCAGTCTTCTTCCTTGGCTTTAGGTTTATAAAGGATGGCACAATCTGTCTCTCATCTCTGAAGCAGCTTCCAGTTTTGGTGACAGGAGTCTAACAGGCAGTCATTGCTATTCAGGGATATGCTTTGATGAATGATAAAAAAAAAAAAGAAGGCATTTCCTGCCTTTCAGGAACTCAGTCTGAATATAAATATATGCGTAGCAGGATACACACACAAGTGGAAAATGATAGGAAAATGCATGTAGAAAGGAAATGCTTTTTCCCCCCCTTGTTATTAGAGTAATTAATGTGGGACTAGATAAATATACACTAGAGGGATGGCTAAAGTGAATTCAATGACCAGACTTGAGTGAAGGTGGTTAGGTAAGACTTCTCAGGGTTAGGAAAGCATGTTTTATTTTGATTATTGTAAGTAGCACCAGATCATTGCAGAAAAACTTGGAAAATACAGTAAATATAAGGAAGAAAAAAATTTATCATAACATCAATCAAGGGTTCACTTCATGCCACTATTTTAATCAAAGGACTAGAAAGAAGAAAGGAATATGGTTTGGGAGAATGGAATAAGAATTTCCCAAATAAGGTGATCTATTTAAAAGCCTATATAGCACAGATTTTTTTATATCTGTATGCACTATGGCTTCAATAGTACACATGCAGATGTTGATTCAACAAGTTTCATTTATGTACCATTTGTGGGCAAACCAGGGAAGTTTGGCCACAAATGGTGGTAGGCAGGTCCACAGCTTTGTGCTGTGAAAAATATGAAGAAAGTTAAGAGATAGTCATTGGTGGAAATAGACATGTAAATAAATCACAGAGCTAGTTCTATAATAAAGATGTAATACTAAGTCCCATGTAAGTTCAGATATGGAAAATGATAGTGCTGTTGCTTTTGGGAATAACTTGAGCAAAAACTTAGAAGTGTGAGAGTAATTGGGTTACTTAGGAAAGTCAAGTGGTTTAGCATGTTAGGGGATGATAATAGGAAGGTGAGCTGGGATCTGATGATGGAATGTTTAGATGTTAAAGAATTTAGATTTAAATTTTTATACAGTGGGGAGTCATCAAAAATGTGCTAGTATCTAGACTTGGGTATTATATCATAGTGGAGAGGAGTGATGTGGTTTCCCAGGAAGAAAGTATAGTATGAATATGGAGGACTTAAGATAGAACTTTGGAAATGTCTATATTTAAGACTTGGAACAGGGAGGCGCCTATGGCTCAAAAGGGTAGGGCGCTGGTCTCATATGCCAGAGGTGGCGGGTTCAAACCCAGCCCTGGCCAAAAATGGCAAATAAATAAATAAAAATAAAATACTAAAAATATATATTAAAAAAAGACTTGAACAAAGGAAAGGGAGCCTAAAGCAAAAGAGGAATCAAAAATTGGACGGCAGTGCCATAGCAGCAGCTGGGGCAAATAAAATTTAAAGAGTAGAACAGAAAACATTTCTGGGATTTTGCAGAGAGGTTGAATAAAATGATGAAGATCCATGAAAAGGGAAGATGTTAGTAACCTCCCCCAAATCAATACAGTGGTTTATAGTAAAGATTATATTGGGATTGAGAAATAATTTAAAAGGGAATAGAGCCAGTAAGTAGAATATTATTCACTATATTTGTCACTGAAAAACAGAGACAATTTGAACCAAGTCAAGGGAAGATTTGTATAAGTATTTTTGTTTGTTATAACAAAATGTATTTTAAGAAAATATAGGCTTGGCGCCTGTGGCTCAAGCTGCTAAGGCGCCAGCCACATACACCTAAGGTGGCGGGTTCAAATCCCCAGCCCACGCCCCCCAAACAACAATGATGGCTCCAACCAAAAAATGGCCAGGTGTTGTGGCAGGCGCCTGTAGTCCCAGCTACTTGGGAGGCTGAGGCAGGAGACT